TTGGGATATTGTTAGTTTCTATTTAGGAATGTGCACATGACTAAACTTTTCTTTTAATAGTATATTTGTTTATATGGAAGTATATGTTTTTTTATTGATAATACTAAGAAAGAGAAACATGGTTGATCTGAAATTCAAAATTTTCAGAGTTGTTCTTTCAATATACCGTGTTTAGATACTATTAAAATTTATCTGAATTGGTAAGTTTTTCTAAAAAAAATTATTACATCTAAAAAATTTATATTGAGTGGTACAAAATATAAGAGTTGAATAATAGTTTTAGGGACAAATAGACAATTTAAGGGGAAAATGATATTAGCAAAGAAAGTACAAAATAGCTATACTTTAAGGGAATTTATTATAATTAGCTTACAGCTATCAATGTCTTTTTGACATTTCCGTTACGCGATGTAAGAGTTAACTAACGGTTTAGGGGGTGAAGTGAAAAGAAAATAACGTTAAGAGGTAAAGTGCAAAATTGATTAAACCTTATGCGGAGTTTTATAATTAACCCTTAGCATTATGTCTTCAGTCTGCTTTGCAGAATAAAGTAATATGAAGCTCTTTATCATGAACAGATGGAATCGCTTGATAGCTAAATACTTGCAGTTTTACCTGCAAGCAAAATAATGTTCAGATTTGGCCTTTCCGGAAAATAACAAGTTTCCTGCATAAGCAAATTCCAATTTGGCCATGTGTATAGCAAATTTCATGCAGCTTCAATAGGGGCACCGATGGGTTTGACAGATCAATTACATTAGATCAACATCCTTATGGAAAATGATTATCCTCCCTAGTGATTCATTTCGAATTATGGCCAGATGACGTGGCGAAAGACCAGTTTAACCAGTCATGCTGTTATTGTACGACCTGTTTAACCAGTTATGCTGTTATTGTACAACCTGAAGCTGTGGTGCGTTAAATATAGACACGGTGTGAATAGGTATTCAGGTTAAATTTTCTTTTTGTTTTTAGTTTTCCCCCTAGAAATCTGACATTCATATACTATTCAAATTTTACTTTGGCAATTGGATATCCGTAATTAGTTTTAGGCTAAATAATCGAGAACTCTGTGATATCCAAAATTTTAAAAGTAAAAGAGTCTTGAAATCCCTCCCATCATCACATTAAACCAAAAAAAAAAAGGTCAAAGCTCAAAAAATAGGTTCTTCATCCCCAAGTCAAAATCTCAGACAACATTGAAATAAAGCAAGAAGTCATAACTTAGAAACATATCAAATAAGAAGTCCACCTTGAAATATTACAAGTAGTCCAAATTTCAAGCTCAAGCATTGAAGTCTACATCCATGTTTTAATTTCCAACTCTTCAACTCCTTTTTTCGAGTCTTCAACTCATCAACTCCTTTAACACCAGACATTTATTTGTACTTTTAGTTAAGTTAGTATATATTAATAGGCATAAAGTATTTTTATATAGACGCATTATAGGTAATTCGAAAGTTCAGAAGATAGTCAGAAATTTGAGAACTCTCAAGGTATGATGTTAGAATCTATTCAAACAAATTGTTCTAATCAAATTGTTATACGAAATATTAGAGTATACATACTAGTTTTAACAGTATGCATTTTATCCGATATCCAAATCTAGAATTGCATAACCTTTTTTATTTTTTAAAGTTGGAATACCTCTACACCGCCTAATACCACTATATATTTCTTTTCATACTCCTCTGCCTATCCTTTATCTTGTTGGTACTTTAGACAATCCTACCAATTCAACAACTAATTAAATTTGCGTTTGATTATAACTCGTTTACAAATCAAGAAGACCAATCCCCAATTGTGTTGTAATCTATACTTCACCGGTAATGTGAATCGTTTATGCCATCCTCTTTGTTCAGCCTTCACCTGAACAAATCTAGTAGGGTGAAAAAAGACAAAAGAAACAAAGAAAGAAAGGAAGAAAAGAAGAAATGAAATTGAAATAAGGAGAAGAAAAACAAAAAAGAAAAGAAAAGAAAAGAAATGTTTATGGTAAAGAAGGAAAAGAGAAAGAATGAAAAGGAAAAGAAAAAAAGAAAATAAAAGGAACTTGGCTGTTGGGATGAGGGCATTTTTGGAGAAAATTACGATTTTAAACCATATCCTTTAAATGTGCATATTAGTTGAGTGTAGCTCAATAATGTTCAATTAGAATGGATTTGATCCAATTTATAATTCTAGATGAATACAGAATACAATACAATTTTGCAAATATGCTAGAGTTTCTTGACTTTTGCAAAATCACAAGGGAATTTTCTAGATTCCGAATAATTATTACCCCTGCCACCTTTCATGGAGAGGAGATAATAATTTGCCTTTCAATTTTATAAAATAATCTTTGCATTAATAAGGTGGCTAGGGACAGTGGTAGAGTCATAGAGTCAAGACCTTAAAATTAGGGGGTCAATATCTGACAACACATGGAATGTAGTAATTAAATATTAAAATCAATGAAAATCTATGTGAAGCATACATTTTTTTCCCGACGTACAATATGTTTTCAAGTTTATAATTGTAATCCAATTTAGCAACAAATATCATTCTATCAGTTTGAGTTTAGAAACGTTAAAAAGAGCTTATTCTTAAACTAACATCTATACTTTTGACACATTTTGTGAAAAGGTAATAATTATGAAATTTTTAGTTATTTAGGAGAGGTGGAGGGGTGGGACAATGCACTAGAATTTTATAGACCTTTTGGGGGAAGGGGTGCAATACACTCAGAAAAGAGAATATTTGGATTTTAGAGGGACAAATAAGGAGAAATTTTTTCAATTTCTAAACTTTCTAAACCTTTAAAATAATTTTCTCAAACTTGTGGGAGTCAATTGCTCACCTCAATAACATGTGGCTCCGCCACTGGTTGGGGAGAACCATGCTGGATAAAATTTTTGATAAACTGTTATAGTGTTTTTTTTTTTTGTACGAAACTTTTCGAAAACTACAATCCAAGCCGATTTGCTGAGTGAGAAGTCGAGAAATCTAGATATTTTGTACTCTGTACCTTATCTCATGCTGTGAAGAAAAGTATAAAACAAAAACTCAGAGTAGCACTAGCATAAATTTTTGGTTACACACTTCAACGCAGGAATTTCGTACAAAATCCTAACGCACGAAGGAGGCATAAAAAAACAAACAGAGACAGCAAACCGCGTCCACGGAGCAAGTCGGTTGGGGTTTTGTTTTATTGTTCTGCTAAAACAGTGAGCCCCAACTTTTTTTTTTCTTTTTTTTTTAAATATTTTGTATCTGAGAAAACATGTTCGAAGTTTTAAGCCAACCTTTATGACCCTTTACTCTCCTCTCGTTTAATATTAAAAAGACAGAAAGAAAGAGGGCTGTTTGTGGACTGTGAACCATGTCTCCTCTGCCTAACGTCACAAGTAATTAATAATTGCACGGTTTCTTGACTATTTTTGGCCTTTTCCTCCTTTTAATTTCAATATCCTTTATGGCGACCCAAATTTCCATGCATTCCTTCACATGCACTTGCACGGCCAAATCCTGCTTTTTCTTTAGGTTTTTTTTTTTTTTACACCCTCTTAAGTTTCAATCATCTTAGCCGTTCCATTTATTCTACTATCACTTTTTTCTTTTCGTTTCTTTTTTCTTTTTTTAATCTCTATCCTCCATGAAAATTTTTATGTTATTTCACATCCTAAAAGAGAGGTGAGCCGTATTTTAACTCCTCTTGTTCTCTAATTAATTGCTATTTTTTGTCACAATTCATGATTATAATCTGAGTTTTTCTCGAAATGGTTGAAATTTAATCACATGCAACTATTTATTTTGATGTGTAATATTTTTAATTAAAAGTATACATTCTTGTGAATGTCATCCATGTAGAGATACCCTGACTTATTTGCTTCATCAATGGTTGTTAATTCTTTTTCTCTACTTTCTAATTTTAATTGCAGCTTTCTTTAAAGCGAAAGCATAATAGACATGTGGAATGAAAATTAGACAAGTCAATTGCGACGCCACGGTCCTGAGAAACACGAATCTAGCTCTATAGACAAAGGAATGCAAGTAAAAGCTTTTGAGAGAAGAGGGCAAGGTGGAAGAAAATGTAGTATGTACCATTGAATTTCTTGTTTCACATTTTGCGACTCATTATGAAGTTATATTTCAATCTAAAAATCCTAAGACAGTGGAAAACGTATGATAATCTTGGTACATGATTTAGATAGTTTAATGCTCTAATATTGAGGAGACATTATCTAAAGCAGTTACAAGTCCAAAAAGAGAAAAGTCAAAGAAAGAAGCTTCCAAAAACGCAGGCGTGAAAATCATCGTTTTTCTTTTTGGCTGATATTACTATGAGACTTTGAACGAGTTTGAATACCCATATTACAATTTTCCAAAAATTTATGTATATATACAACCTATTATATATTTTGAGAATTAATTCCACGACAACGACAAATATATAGTTAAAAGATAAAAGGTCACTAGATTAGATATGAGGAGGCAAAAAAATTATTGAAGTACACATAAGGTTCAATTCCTGTGGCAGCTAAGTTTCGAAACTGGGTCCCTTTATTTCGTGGAGCAATTAATAAAAAGCTTTTCTGAAAGTTTTTATACAGTAGATGTACTTCAATAGATACCTTAAAAGCATACAGGATTTTTTGTTAAATATCTTTCTGTTTTTCTTTGTTTTATTCTTTTTTGATAGGAAACTAATTTTTTTTTTCTAACAAGGGACAAATAAAACTTCAAAAGTGAAGAGAGAGTTAAAAAAATTATAATTTAAAATTTTTAATTCCTGAATCCTCAACTTTAATCGCTAGATAAATATCCTTCTATCAGTTATAGGTAAAAAAAGTTTTGAAATCTCACGGCAACCAGACCTCAGGCAATGGTATTTTTATCGTAGAAGTCGTGTGTAAACTGTAAAGTGGTGTGATGGAAGGGCAACATCGTAAATCTAGCTTGTGACATTCCCTGAAGGCCTTTATATACTTTATTTGTCACCCAGCTCTCGATGTGGACTCCTGTTGTTTTCATACTATCTTAGTCATTACTCTCTCCATTAGTATTTTCCCACTTAGGTAATCCCCCAATTGCTTTCGAGTCTGCAACCATGGAAGATCAAGAACAGGATCAAACCAACCAAGCGAGCCATGGGTCGGAGAGTAGTGAGAGAAATGAACCAGTTAGGTCACGGTGGACTCCCAAACCAGAGCAAATCCTCATACTTGAGTCCATCTTCAACAGTGGGATGGTGAATCCTCCAAAGGATGAAACCGTCAGAATAAGAAAACTCCTGGAAAAATTCGGTTCTGTGGGTGATGCAAACGTCTTCTACTGGTTCCAAAATCGTCGGTCCAGGTCCCGTCGCCGGCAACGACAAATCCAAGCTAGTCTCAGCGGTGAAGTACAAGTACAGACCAGAACTGCTGGTGCAACTGCAACTGCTATTCCTTATGAAACTAGTTGCTGTGCTGGTTTTTCAAATTCCATGTCTTTTCTTCCGCTGTCTGCATCAGCATCATCAGCATCTTGTCTAGGTGGTTCCTCTTCAGCTTGTGGGATTATCAACAATGATTGTGCTAATGACCTTTTTGCAATTTCAGGCCAAATTGGTCAGCCAGAAATTGCACAAACTTCATCAAGCATCAATCCCCGTTCGCATTATCAATCTGGTAACTAATAGATTTGGTTCAATTTTCATTGGTTTTCTAGTTTCTCCATATTGAAGAGTCAATCTATGAAAGATTGATAGACCCTTAAATTAAGGCCGTGCACAAGATTTGGTTCATTGCATGTGACACAAAATAAACAAAAATAAAAAGTTTAGGGTCTCAGGCACCGGAACAAACAATTAAGGTAGTAGATATATTGCATCAAATTCTGTAGTTCTTTCTTTACTTCAATTTCTCTCAACCATTCTGGATCAGGATTAATATCAGTGTTCATCAATGGAGTTGCAACGGAGCTCCCGAGAGGACCATTTGATCTGAGGGCAACTTTTGGCCAGGATTTCCTATTATTTCACTCTTCAGGAGTCCCGGTGTCTGTCAGCGAATATGGGTTCCTCTTGGAAAGCTTGCAGCACGGCGAAAGCTACTTTCTGGTAAGCAAAAATGAATTCCAGAATTTCGAAACCGATTTTACAAAGAAATCGATAACCTTTAATGGTATTTTCTGGGGCTCAAAAAAGAATTCAATATGCACCGATGGTTTCTTTTGTACCATCAATTTTAAACGAGAATACAAAATTAAACTGTGTTTTCTTCCTTCCTACCTGCCATCTTACAGAGTTTCTTCATTTTCTTTCACTCTCATAGTATTGTTCTATACGAACATTGCATCTATCAATGTTTAGTGAAAAGAGTTTCTCCTCAGTCTCTGGCTTTGAGTTTTGTTTTGCTCTTTGTTGTAATTTTTTAGTTTGAGTCTAGTCCCACACATTCATTGGTGTTGAATTGTTGATTGTTTTGAGCAAAAGTAATGCATGAATGACCTCAGTGCCATACTGCTGTTCTAGTAAGGCTGAGTCTGGCACAGAATTTTCGGGAATCCATGAGCTTCTCTGTACTCTCAGACTAAATTTTAAATTTTCTGACTGCATGCAATTCCGGAAAAGTCATTTGGCAGCATACTTATTTTAACCGCTTAATTATTTATTCCAAGATTCTTTGTCACTTGCAGGATAGATCATTAGAAATCTATTTTAATTGAGTCCGAGATTCCAAAAAGTGGTGCCTATTAATGAAGTGAATTACAATGTGCTCGTATCTTATTTCTCTCCCTCCCTCTCTCTGGATTTATCAATTTGATATTTTTGACGGGAATTTTTTTTTTGAAGATAAATAGCGAATACAATAAAGTGATACAATGTTGAACAACTATAATTGACCAAGGAAAAGCATTTTCAACATGTTTGTGCTCTTTTACATATTTTATGGATGTGCAAAGTAATTTGTCAATGTATACACGGAGAAACAAAATGCTGAATATCTTTTAAAGTTGGTTAGAACTAATAATGAATAGAGGATAATTAGCAAAGTTATTAACCAAAAAGGGCATGACTTTCCTGTTACATTTGAAGTTATTCATCATTATGTCCAAAGTAACTTTAACAATAACAAATTCATAACAGAAGAATCTTACAAGTAAACTGTTTTGATTTATGAAGTTTTCGTGAGATCATCAAGATACATGTATCTCTTCCTATTAATCTAGATTTCTCTTTGCAGGTTCAAAGACCAGTTTAGCATGATCAAGCATTTAACAAGTAGGGGAATCATCCTCCTTTAGGATTTGGTATTTAGGCAGATATTTTTATTTATGAGCAAATAATTTCGTGATGTGTTCTGATGAAATTTTTACTTCGTTTCTGATTTCTTCTTGTATTTGATCAGCTGGCTCGGGTGATATATCATGTTTCTTAGTTATTGTTTTCAGTTTATCAACTTCGTTGAATTTTCAATGGTTTGTACTATTTCTACCTGCAGTATGTATTTTCTATGGCTGGTCTTGCTTCTTAGAAACTGATTTAGCCTTTATTTAGTTTGGAGAAGTTAACCTGCTGTCTATAAAATTGGAGATTATCTAAATTTGGCAGTGATTCTCATACTAGACAAGATAAAAATAATCATCTAGAAAGAGTTCAGATTATCCGATTCGGATTTTAGTACACTAATTAACATGTCTAAACCAAGTTTCGCTGAGTAGATGGACGGGTACTAAGATGAGGGGCAAGGCCCTCATGGATTCAATTTTAACTATTTCTAAAATGTCAAGCATAAAAGGTCAGTAGTTTATCATCTCGCTTATCAGCATAGTATAATACGCCCTATGCTGATGAAGTCTTTTATGTATTTTACAACTAAATACTTCACAGATTAAGCAATGAATTAATCAACAGCACCAAAAAGTAAAAGCAGAAGATATAAAAGAGTGAATACTCTCGATTTTCTGTGGTTTCATCATCCTTCTTGGTATCTAAATCCACTTCCAAAGTTTCTCTCAACTTGGTATTTTCCATTGATTGTGTTCTCAATAAGTGTGCAGACAACAAAAGTTTAATTTGATTTATTAATTAAGTCAAGATTATAGATTATTAAGAGAATCTTGATTAAATTAAATTAAATTGCAATAATCCAATAGTGTTTGGCTTACAAATTGTGCCAATGTTATAAGGGTATTAAATCAAGCTAAAGGTACTATATCTATTTCAGGAAAAGTGAATTAATTAATACATTAATTCACCATTAGCTAGTTGAGCCAGCTTATTATTAAAATCTTAGCTCCAGAGCTACAAGGCACCCAAATCATAAGAAGATTTTGGAGGGTTTTCTTGAAAACCAATCTTCCAGAAGGTTTTCACATAAGTCTACATATATTGGCTATAAATATCTCAAGTCAAGAGTTATATATTAACATCACAAAATTCGGAAGAAACTATTTTCAAATGCTCTCAAGAGTATTTTTTTTCCCTCAAATTCAAGTCATATAAATTCTATCGTTCATGTTGAAGGCTAGAAGATCTAATATGCAAGTGTTCGAGCAACGCCATCAAATCACCGTTATCTACGCACAAATTATAGGAAACACTCTTTTAATGGAAAACAAGCATTTTGGCCCTTCAATTAAATCAAATTGAAGAGAAGAATCAGAGGGCTATTTTCTTTGATTTAAGAAAATTTCAGAGAGGTAGTCTCTTTTATTCTCGTATTAATTAAATTTGATATTTGTACATTTTTTCCTATCTTTTGTTCACTCCAAGTAGAACCATTTTTGCCTATCATCTCTGACAAGTGTTTGTTTTGTATATGTTTATGTGCTTGTTCATGTTAGTTTTGTTTTGTATATGTTTATGTGCTTGTTCATGTTAGTTTTGGTGTTTTTCAATTGTTTTAAGAGTTGAATAACAAGGTTTCTAGGTGAGTTTTGCATTTTGTGATTAAAGTGAGAAACATTGCATTTGTATGGAGTTAAATAGTCAAAACTTCATGTTTTCTAGGTTTCATTGATTCAATCATCAATTGGAGTGAAGTGGGAAGAAGTTTGGATGATTTTTGATGTTTTGAAGTGCATTCAAAATGATCATGAAGTGTAGAAATGAAGAAATGCAATGCACGCTGCACGGGGTTGCAAACGAATCAAGTTTAATCAAGTAACTCACGAGCTTGCTTGGTCAAAACTCAAGCTCGAACTCACATTGACCGAGTTCGGATTTGAATTCGAGCAGCTCAAGCTACTTGACGGGTCGAACTCGAGCTTAATATGCGAAGCTCGAAAGCTCGTCGAGCTTAATCGAGCTTCACATATATATATTTTTTTAAAATTTTTTATTTATTAGTCTGAAATGTCAATTTTGTTCCTTGTTTAAAATTATATAAAATATAAATTTATATTTCTTAACCTCAATTAGGCTTGACTGGGCTTGATAAGCATAAGTTCAAGTTTGAGTTAGAGTAATGCAAAATAAAAGCGAGCTCAAGCTTGAGTTTGAGCCTAACTTTGCTCCTCGAGCTCAAGTTTGAGTCCAAGTTTTTTGGCACAAGTCGAACTAGAGTAGTCGCACTACTCGAACTCGACTCAACTCGATTATACCCCTACACTGCATATGAGCAAAGAAAGGAAAGATTCGTGAAGAAAAAAGCCTAGGGCAATCCATGGACGGGCTCCAACCTCCTAGAACCAGATTCAAGAACGGATTGAAGGCAAAGAGTGAAAACTCACGAAGAACAAAGCAAACGAATGGGCCCGCGGACCTCAAGTCCGTGTGTAAGGACCCGAAAAATTTTCTTATTTTATATAATTTTATTTTATTTCTTGGAAGACATTTTCTATACTTTACTTTATTGTCTTAATCTCCTAGATATTTTTTACAAGTGAATCACGTTTTAAATCATTTTCCATGTATAAGTTAGTGCATGTTAAGTTTGAAGTGCATTATGCAAGTGGGACCTGCTAATACGGTAAGTGCGATAAATTTTTGAAAATTAAAAGGAGTTTTGTACAAAGAAATATTATTTTATAAGGTGTTAAGAGATAATTAGAGATTGGTTAGATATTTTAGTGATTAGAAGACAATAGGATGAGGATTAATCTTGGAAGGACAATTGTCACAACATCCATGGAACTTTGACCTTGATTTGGACTACTCTTAGTGTGAGGACCCGAAAATTCCTTTAGAATTTCCTCCCATTTTTGAAACATTAATTTATATTTCCTTCTATATTTATTTTTGACTATTCAACTATTTATTAGCCCCAAATTTCATGGTGATTTCATTAGTTGAGTCAAGAGTTTTACTTTTATTTTTAAAGTTAGAATAAGTTAGGGTTTTGGTGCATTTTGGTAGTGTGATCGATTTGTGAGGTGTGTGCACTAAATTTGGCATATAAGAGTGGCTATTAAATAAGAGGAAGTATGTGGTTAAAAAGTGCTAAGAGTAAGTTAGTGAATCATAAGTTAAGATAAAAGTATAAGAGAGTTAAGAAAATAGCCTTGAACCGACGTGCGCCGTTTGTTATCGGTGGAGGACTCCACTTGACCAATACTTTCTTTCCCTAATCTCTTTCTTTTTATTTCATTACTCCCTTCCCTAATTTTCCCTAGGGTTGGCCAAATTGTTTGACCAAGAAAAGAAAAAAAAAAGGGAAAAAACTTGGCTTGCCAATTGTCAACAAGCCTACAAAGTTTGACTAAGACTTGACCAAGACTAAGCTTTCCTCTTATCTTCATTAAGCTTCCATTTCAATAAAAAATCCTCCATTTTTAGCTTAGGATGGCCGAAATTTTTGACTAGAAAAGAGGGGAAAAGAAGGCAAAATAAAGGAAAATTGAGGGAAAGCCAAGTGTTGGCAATCAAGGCATTCTTTGACCAATGTAACCTCTAGTCCTTATCTTGCAAATTTCACCAAAAATCCCTTCATTTTGCTCCCTTCTTGGCCAAACTAGAGAGAGAGAAAAGGGAGGAGAAACTTCAAATCCCATCTTGGATTTTGTTTGATTTGGAGAGAAATCAACAAGAACCACAAATCTAATCCGAACAAAGGTGCGACAAGGTGACAAGGAAGCTTGAGGTGGAGTGATTTTGCATAGGCAGCCTTGGTTTTGTATTTTTTTCTTGAGGTTTGAAGGTATTAAGATAAGAAACTCTCCTTCCTTTCTTATGTTGCATTTTATTGGATAGATGACTTGAATATGGAAGATATCATGAATTTGTGAAGTTGGTAGAATTTTCCAGGTTAGGGTTTCAAAATTTCATCTTGAGTATATTTGTTTATATATCAAGTATATGTTGAATTTGGTTAGTCTTTGCTATCTAGAATATGTACCAATTGTCTCCTATAATTTGTGAGCTTGATTTGGGGATGTTATACTATGAGATTGTAGCCTTGAAAATGGCTGGAAATTAGGGAAAATAAGGGGAAGTGCTGCTGAAAATTTTTTCGCAGGATACCTTGAGCAGTCTTGCGAAATCTACTATATCTTGTGTAGAAAAATCCAAATTGAGTTCCACTTGTTGCTTTGAAAACTAGACTCATTGCTCTTTGAACCGTGAAAATTTCAGAATTTTTCTCAATTCCTATGAATATCTGTGATTTTCCAAAGTTGACTGAATTTCCATTCTTGTTTTATCTTTCTACCGGATAAAGCAGCCGCTTGAGATCGGATTTTGACTGACTTTTTGACAGAATCTTGCAAAGGTGTCTTCTGAGAAATTGTAACCCTTTGAATCTATTTTCCAACGGTATAAAGTTTATAAATTTTGGACTTAAGAAGCTTGAGATATGATTTTTCAAATAGCATTGGACAAAACTGGGAAAAATTCTGTTTTCTTAAAACTGTCCTTACTTTCACTCCCAATTTCAAGTTGGAGTTGTTGAACCATTTTGAACTTGATTTTTCTTTTGGAATAATGTGACTTGGCATAGTGGATCTCATGGCTCTTTATAAATGTGATTTTAGGACGTGGAGGTAAGGTCGGAAGTGCACATGAGGCGAACACTTGAACTTGTACCATGGTGAGTGTTCCTTGCATGTTTGTGTAATAAGTGACTATGTGAATATCTGTGAGTGATTGTTTGAATGTTAAATGCTTTCCAATGACTATTAAATGGATTTTCAATGGGCGAGTATGTACTTTATCGCACTCGACCTAAGTGAATGTGAATTTTAAATGATCAAGTGATTGAACGTTACTTGTGCATGAATGTAAGCCTTTGGCTGAACTGGGCCCTTGCCCTTCGTTGCCAGTTGACTCGAGCCAGAAGCAGACTCGGTCAAGCGGCTGGTGACCCTAGGACAATGTTTGGTATACAAGAGTATTACCACGGAATTTGGTGGAGGACTGGCCAGTGAATTCAATGCAATGAAATCAACGAATGAGTGACAATGAATACTGAAGGAGTTTTCAATGTTAAATGTTTTGAAATGATGGAGGAATAAGGGAAATGGTTGGCGACTGAATGACTGAATGAATGGTTCCAAGTGAGC